AAACTTACGCTCTCAGCCCTCATTGTTTTCTCCCTTATAGGAGCTTCAACATCTAAAGCCAATGTTTCCCTCCCTTATCTTTGTTTTTGTCTAGCTTAAGTGCCTTTAATTTCCTCTTTTCTCCTCTGTCTGCAGACAATATTTCTTTCCTGTGCTGAAAAAAAAAAAAACAAAACCAGAATAAAACAAAACACCCAAAACCTTCATTTGACCTCGAGGCGACTCTTAGCCTATTTTTCTCACCCTCATATTGTAACATATTTAGGGATGAAACTCCATTTTTTTTCAATGCAGTCACTCCTAGTTCTGTTCTTTAGACTCCTAATGTTCCCTGAGCTCTTCTCCCTGTCACTCAAACTGCTCGACAGGCGGTCCTGGTTTCTTAATCAGGAGGTACAGTGGGAGCTCTCTTAGACTTTGCTATGCTATTTGACACTCTTGATTACATTATTTCTAAAACTCCCCTTTATTGGTTTTCATGGTACAACATATGATTTTCTACTCATTTTTTTTTTTGTGTGCCAGCCTTTTCTAAACAGTTTGGATGACTAGATATACTGAACTTAATTTCCAAAATATCTACTGCAGCTTGAAGCGGGCATGAAAAATAGTGGGTGTCACCAAAAGCTGACTGTTGCTCAGATAGGCTTTGTAAGATGTCTAATGATTGTTGCTCAGATAGGCTTTGTAGATGTCCAATGATGTTAAAAGTGCTTCAGCTTGGAAGGTCTGGATATTTTATTGTGTCTCAGGTTGGTTAAAGTAACCAATCATATAAGAGAATAAAGCTCCCTATATACTTCTTCCCTGAACAGTGCCAGCTAGTTAACTCCTGACAAATCTTATCATTTCAATTCCCTTTAGTTTTCTAATTTTCAACCTTGCAGTTTCTAATCTCATAGATATACTTTACCAAATAACACTTTATTTAGGTTATGGTCAAGTGCTCTCTTCTAACTTATCTTTTTGTTTGCTAATGGCATGTGATGATTTGCCCAATCTTTTAGAGTTCTAGAGGTATTTATCATCATTCCTAAGTGTAACTCAAGTGCTCTACATAACAAAAAAGCCTCACTTTTCTTTTTTTAAGATTTATTTTTATTTATTTTGCATACAAGAACTGGGGTGTAGGCCAGAGATGCAGGGTGGTGAGAGGACTCACCAGAGACAGAGTAGGGAGCAGAATAGGAGAATCTACTGAAATACCCTGATGAGGGGAGCAGTGGGCAAGATAGGAGAGGTCTGCTGTGCCTTGTTGGTATCTCCCTGGTCTGGGATGGAACTCATGCCAAAATGGCTGGCGATAACTTGATAGTGCTAAGACTTTAACCCCTGTGCCACCAAGGAGGCCCCTGTATGATAGGCTTTTCTCTCTTAACTGTAGGACTTATTGAACATGATCTCAATTTTGAAAGTTAAACTGCTTCTTGGAGATTTTATGTTTGTTATTCAAGATGCTCGTAAATTTTTCGAAATACATTAATAGTATTAACGTTCCCAGATCCAATAAATAACCTATCAAATCATGCCAAGTACTTTCTACTTTCGGATAGTGGGGGGAACCTGAATAATAGTGTTAGGCAAGAATCATCAATGGAAGTTAAATTAGTGGGGAAGTTTGATGAGGAATATGATGTTTATATAGTCTCAAAGTATTTCCCCTAGGATTATTTAGTGACTACAAAGGGAAGAGCAGTACCTTCACAGTGGCACAATCTGGTAGACACTGCCCTAATCAAGTAATCAAATTTAATATCACTAATAACAGGGCCAAGTAGCATCCTGTGTCTCTGATGTGATTCATCGATAAGGACACAACATCATTTTGCCAGAATGAATTAGCTGAATCATCACAAGGAAACATTAGACAAATTTGAATTGAGAAATTATCTACAAAAACTGACTTGTGGCCTTCCCTGGTGGTGCAAGGGGTTAAGCACCGCACTGTGAAGCAATCCGCAGCCTCTGCAGTGTGAGTTCGATCCCTGGCTGGCCAGGGAACAGCCCACATGGCGAAGCAGACCTCTCCTGACTCACCCACTGCTCCCCTCAGCAGTGTATTTTGGTCAGTCTGCCTATTCTGTTCCCCATTCTGTCTCTGGTGAATCCTCTCACCCACCACACCTCTGGCCTATACCCCAGCTCTTGTATGCATAAATAAATAAATCTTTAAAGAAAAAAAACTGACTTGTGGTCTTCAAAAAGTGAAGTTATAAAATATTGATTAACGGTTCCATATTAAAGGACGCCAAAGAGAGTTGAGGGCCTCCCCTGGTGGTGCAGCTGTTGAGAGCTGGGCTGTGAAGCTGCCCGCAGCCTCTGCAGCACTGGTTCGATCGCAGCCACTGGCAAGGATCCCACATGGTGCGACAGACCCCGCCTGCCGCTCCTGCTGTTCCCCTCAGCAGTGTATTTCGTCTGTCTGCCTGTTCTGCTCCCCGCTCTGGCTCTGGTGAATTCTCTCACCCTCCCGCTTTCTGACTGTACCTGGTGCTTGTATAAATAAATAAATAAATCTTAAAAAAAAAGAGTTGAAAGTTAAGTGCAGAGCCTCCCCTGGTGGCTCAGGTGGTTGAGCGCGCTGTGAAGCTGTCCACAGCCTCTGCAGCACTGGTTTGATCCTGGCCAGCCGGCGAGGGTCCCACATGGCACGGCAGACCTCTCCTGTCTCGCCCCCTGCTCCTCTCAGCAGTGTATTTCGTCAGTCTGCCTGTTCTGTTCCCTGCTCTGTCTTTGGTGAATCCTCTCACCCTCCCGTGCACCCCGGTTCTTGTGTGCATAAATAAATAAATAAATCTTAAAAAAAAAAAAGAAAGAAAGAAAATTAAGTGCAACGTGTAATCCTGGAATTGGAGATTGGACTTAAAAAAAGAATAAACCTTGTTGAAATAATTGTACTGTGATTATGTAAAAGAATCTCCTTGTTCATAGGAAATGCACATTGAAGTACTGAGGGGAAAATAGGTGTGTTGTTTGCAACTTAATTCCAAATAGCTCAGAAAAAAAAATGTATATACATACACAGGGAGAATTACAAACCAAATGGGGCAAAATGTAATCATGGGTAGATCTGGGGAAGAAATATATAGGAGTGCTTTATATGATTCTTACAACTTATCTTTTTTAAAAAAAATTTTATATATATTTTTTTTTTCATTTTTTTTTTATTAAATAATAAATTTTATTTTTATATTCCCCCATACAACTGCACATGCCCCATTCTGACCCCAATCCCTCCCCTCCCGGCCCCCACCCCCCAAAAAGTGTCTCTGGTTCATAGTTTTTTGTTGATTTTGATTTTCACTTTCTTATAGTTATTCATTTTCCTGATCCCTTATTTAAGTTTTCTAGATTCCTGCTATGAGTGAGACCATCCGGTATTTTTCTTTTTCTTTTTGGCTTATTTCGCTGAGCATAATCCCTTCCAGCGCCATCCATGTTGCTGCAAATTGCATGTGTTTATCTTTTTTGAATGCTGAGTAATATTCCATGGTACATATGTACCACATCTTCTTGATCCAGTCATCTATTTTTGGGCATTTGGGCTGTTTCCAAAGCTTAGCTATTGTAAATAGTGCTGCTATACACATAGGGGTGCAGGTGTTCTTTGGAATTGATGTTTCTGTGTCCTTTGGGTAAATACCTAGGAGTGGAATTGCTGGATCATATGGAAGCTCTATGTTTAGTAGGTCCAGAAATCTCCACACAGCTCTCCGTAGTGGTTGGACCAGTTTGCATTCCCACCAACAGTGCAGGAGAGTTCCTTTTTCTCCACAACCTCGCCAACATTTGTTGTTGCTAGTTTTTTTAATATGTGCCATTCTCACTGGTGTAAGATGGTATCTCATGGTAGTTTTGATTTGCATTTCCGTGATGACAAGTGATGTTGAACAAAAAAAATTTTATATATATTTTTACATCATTTTTCATTTTTGCACAATGTATGCATTTTCATCTTGGTTATAATCCCCTTACAATTCCCACCCCCCCTTGTTTTTATCCTACTCTCTCCCCCCCCCCACAGCATGTCTCTGGCTTGTTGATTTTGATTTTTACTTGATTATAATTAATCTTTTTCCTGGTCCCTTATTTTGGTTTTCTAAATTCCTGCTATTTTCCTGCTATATTCCTGCTATTATTCCTATTATTTAGGCTTTCTAAATTCTGGTATTTTTCTTTTTCTTTCTGGCTTATTTCGCTGAGCATGTTCCCTTCCAGCTTCATCCATGTTGCTGTAAATTGCATGAGTTTATCTTTTTTGATCGCTGAGTAATATTCCATTGTGTATATGTATCACATCTTCTTGATCCAGTCATCTATTTTTGGGCGTTTGGGTTCTTACAACTTATCTTTAAGTTTGAAATTTCATCAGAATAAAATGTTACCAAATAACCCAGTCCTGAACTTTTGGGATTTTTAAAAAATCTCTCCTCTGTATGTACATACAGAAGAGTTCAAACACTGAAAATTTACAGCTTGATACACTTTTAAAAAATGAAACTCCCCATCCCCTCCCATCATGATTCTTTTTCAGGTCAGGATCTAAAACATTACCAACATTCTAGAAGCAACCCTTCAGCCATTCCCTATCCTTCTTTCACAAAGGCAACTATTATCTGACTTCTGTCATCACAGTTCAGTCTGGCCTGTTTTTGAAGGTTGTATAAATAGGATCATACCACATTATTCTCTGTTTTGTTTTTCCCCCAACACTGTTTGTGAGATTCATTTCTTGTTGCAAGTAGCTATAATTCATTCATTTTCCTGTTTTTTAATATTTGAATAGACCATAATTTGTTTATGTACACATTTTACTATTGTTGGACATTTGGGTAGTGTGGTAGATGGTCCTTGCCTCCTGTTTCTGGTGACCTGTGTAATCCTCTTTCCTTGAGGGGGAGCTGGACCTAGTGACTTGCCTCTAATGAATAGACAGAACTTCACCTGTGAGATTAGATTACAAAAACAATATGACTTCCATTATGGCTGTTCTCTCTTAGATTGCTTACCTTGGGAAGTAAGTGCCATGTCATGAGGTATCCCTCTGGAGAGGTCCAAGTGACGGGTGACTGAGACCTGCCAACGACTATGTGAGTGAGCTTGGAAGAAGATTCTCCACCTCCAGTCAAACTCACAGCTGACTGCAGCCCTAGCTGACAACTCCGCTGCAACAGCATGACAGGCCTTGCATGAGAGTCCTGGAACTAAGTGACATGAATTCCTGACTCACAGAGTCTATAAGGTACACATGTTGGTGTTTTCTGGTTAACGCTTGGGGCAATTTACTCTGTAGTAATAGATGATGAAAACTCCTAGTTTTTGGCTGTTACAAACAGTTCTGTCTGAATCTACTTGTATGTGTAGTGCACATATGTGGGCAATTCTTTTGGGGTTTATACTAACTATGATTATTGGTTATAGGGTATATTTATGTCAGCCTTAGTAGATACTGCCTTACAGTTTTCCAGAGCACTAGTTTATATTAATACCGGTATCAAATTATAGAGTTCCTGCTCTTCCCTAGCCTTTGCAACACTAGGAATTAGTCTTTTAAATTTTTGTCATTCTGGCATTTTGCTTAAAAATGTTTTACTTTGAAATAATTTCAAACTTCGGGAAATGTTGCAACAGTGATACACAAAACTTCTTTAAGTCTCTTTACCTAGACTCCCTAACTTAATATTTTACCACATTCTTCTCTCTCTCTATCTAATATATACATTCTTTTTTTGAACTTTTGGAAAACAAGTTGCAAACATGATGATGTGTCCCTTACATACTACAATGTATTTTCCCCAAACACAATTTATAGAGGCTTTCCCATCCTCAGCGCTGATAAATTTGACTCTCATCAAGTCAAGCACCTTAATCTCATCTCAATTAAAATTGACTTCTTAATCTCCCTGTATATAACCAATCTCCCAACCACAAAGCTGCTTCTGTCACTGGCCTTCTTCTTGGTCCTGCCAATTTCTTAGTTCTAATTCTGAGACTATCTCCTTGGCCAGCATCTATCTTGGTTTGTCGCCTTTCTGTAACTGCCTCTGCAGTGACCATGCTGCCACCTTCAAGGAATGGGCAAGGAGGAGGACTGGGGAAGAGGGAAGATGAAGGGCCTTTTGATATTTTGACTTTTAGGCCAATGTCTTATTCATCTGGTTCCCTAGTAAGAATGTAATGCTCTTCAGGAATTTATATACACTGAGAGTTTGCCCCTTAAACTATACTAGTATGCTGGGTTATTTTATGACTTAGTGAGAATGGTAGAAAGAGAAGAAGCAGGAGCAGATGGGAAAGAAAATGTGGGGAGGGGTAAGAAATCACCATTGTAGTTGGGCATAGACAGAGCTCAACTCCAGTTTTATTAGCATTATAGTGAGAATGGTTCTTACCAGTAGTTCTGTCCAGAGCATGAGCTAGCTGGATTTTGTTGGAGTGCAGGTGGAAGGTGGGTTTTCAGGTCCACCTTGGAATCAAATGCACATTTAAAAATGACTTTGGTATCAACCTGACCTTCCCAGATGCCCTATGGTCAGTTTAAAATTAACCGGGTCCTTGACCTCAGGCTGGAGTCAGAATGGCCTCTGGAGGGCAGAGGAACACCATGTGATACTTCCTCATCTCTAATCTAGTCTAACCACTTCTATTGCCATATTCATTTCTTAGTAAATTCCTAGAAGCCCTTGACAGATCCATTCTCCTCCACATTTTATCTAGTAAACTAGAAAGAATAAGAGTTTGATGACTGTATCCTGCTCAGTTCTTGAATCTCATGTGCTCTCAGTTGGTCTTCTTCCAGGGATACATAATCACCGGGGAGCCATATTTCTTTCCAAATATGCCTCACCTATATTATATTGATAAATACTCCAACATGATCATTGATTGCATTGGTAGAATATGACTGGTAGGAGTTAAAAGGGTAATTCTGTTTACTTAACTTGGTCAGCTCCTTCTTCACGCATTGGGCTCAGTTTGGGTCTTTAAAATTAAAACAGGAGCTTTGAAATAGTGTATACATAGGTCATAAAAATGATAAAGGAATTATGGGCCTCCCCGGTGGCGCAGTGGTTGAGCTCTGGGTTGCGAAGCTGCCCGTGGCCTCTGCAGCGCCGGTTCGATTCCCGGCTGCTCCCCGGCCACCAGAGGAGGGTCCCACATGGCGCGCAGACCTCTCCTGCTGCCCGCTGCTCCCCTCAGCAGTGTGCTTCGGTCCTTCTGCCTGCTCTGCTTCCTGCTCTGGCTCTGGTGAAATCTCTCACCCTCCCCTGCTTCTGATTGTACCCAGTGCTTGTACAAACAAACAAACAAACAAACAAATAAATCTTTAAAAAAAAATGATTACGGAATTAGACAAGAGGATCTGGAAATGTAGTATACTGGGTATTGAATTATTTGCACAAGAGAATAATAGGCTCGGGGAGCTCTTATCTTTGAAGATTTGAGGACCAACTTGAGAACTAGAGGAAAGGCGCTGTCAATCTTGGATCCTGGTGACTTCTTTTCTAGAACAAGTGAAGTAGCACTTAGCAAAGCGCTCCCTTCACCTGCCTGCTCTTAGGAAAGGCTTGGCATGTGTTGGTTGTGGGCACAGAATTGTAAGGGAGCTTGGTAATAGATGTGTGGATAAATATGGCAGCACCTGTTCTTCAGAACCACACTGCCTGGGTTTAAATTCCACGTTGTCACTTACTAACTGTAACCAGAAAATGTTGGAGTCGGGCTGCATGTTGCTGCTGGAAGCTAATTGAACAGAGACAGGAATTGGATCTATGACACAGACTTTAATGTTAGAAAACTGGAGATCTGAGACAATGGGGCTATTTTACCCCAAAAGCCTGTTCTGACATCTCATCTCAAGCTGGCCTTTTTCTAGTGAAAGTCGGTTAACCATAAGTCAGCCTCCTGCTGCAACAGCCCATCAGGGTTGGGGCCTTGTTCTTCATGGTATCCCTAGAGTTTGTTGTGGCCTCCTTGGTCATCTTGACCCAGGTATATCCTGTTTTCCTGCACCTGGGAAAAACCCTATTGTTCTGATGGCATCAGTGTCGGGTACTTCAGTCATCACTGGGGTAGGAACCTCAGTTCAAAACAAGAGTTTTAGTTCAAAGACAACGGATTATTATTATTATTATTTTTAAAAATTTATTTATTCATTTTTACACAAGAACTGGGGTACAGGCCAGATGCACAGGAGGGTGAGAGGATTCACCAGAGACAGAATGGGGAATAGAACAGGCAGACTGATGAAATACACTGCTGAGGGGAGCAGCGGGCGCGACAGGAGAGGTCTGCTGCACCATGTAGGACCCTCGCCGGCCGGCTGGGATTGAACCAGCGCTGCAGAGGCTGCGAAAAGCTTCACAGTGCGGCACTCAACCACCTGCACCACCAGGGGAGGCCCAGACAATGGATTATTAATTACATAGCCTTTGCATGTGGCCTATGCTGTGTGTGTGTGTGTGTAGGTTCCTATACTAGGTATGGTGCCTTTCCCTCCTCCCTAAACCCTATCATAACTGGTTAAATCTTTTTTTTTTATTTTATTTATACAAGAACCGGGGTACAGTCCAGATGCGCGGGAGGGTGAGAGGATTTGTGCACTTTATGGTGACCAATGCAAGGAAAGTTACTTTGGGCTGGTTAACCACAGGTGTAGCTTGGAAACCACTTTGGGCGCCAAACTGTTATGGAGCAACCCCGATATAAAACAGGTTGCCTGGCTGTGGGTCCTCACCTGCATGCTTAAAAGGGACTTATTAATACTCCACTACAGGCGCACACAAAAGGTTAATAAAAGCTTTATTTGCAAGGGAAAGGGAATTGAGGAAATGTACAACTCAGGGAGAAAATAGGGAAATAAAGTCTTTAATGCATCCTACCTTATCCGCCGACCCAGAAACCCAAAGGCACTCTCAGAGCTGGCCACTCCACTGTGAGCTGGCGGAGAGCTGAAAAGGGAAATCCCCCAAAGCCCATGTGTCTGGTTTTATACCAAACCTGGCTGCTTAACCCCACCCTCAGGTTCCAGCAACCTTCCCTTTGGTGGTGATGGGATTTGTAGTTCCCAGTGTCTTTTGGCTTTGGTCTGGAGTGGGGGCGGAGTCCACAAAGCCTGTATGAAATTAGCTTTAGGACATCCTTTTCCCCCTAACAGATTCACCAGAGACAGAGCGGTGAACAGAACAGGCAGACTGACAAAATACACTGCTGAGGGGATCAGCAGGTGAGACAGGAGAGGTCTGCTGCGCCATGTGGGTTGCTCTGAGGCTGGTGGGGATAGAACCGGCACTGCAGAGGCTGCGGACAGCTTCACAGCACTGTGCTCAACTGCCTGCGCAATAACTGGTTAAATCTTTCTGAGCCTCAGTCTCCTCTTTGCCACTGGGATAAAACTATACTTTGCTCCTGATGTTAATTCATTTAAAGTGTTTAGAGCAATGCCTGGCAAATAGCAAGCATTATTTAACCATTTACTCTTACTGCAGAAGATGCGTGTAAATATGAGTACATAAGCATGAAAATGGGTGAGATGGAGTGTGTATATGTGAATGTATGCCTGTATGGTGGGTATGAGGGGCAGACTGTTTGAGACCATATTTGGGTAGCAGGAGAGAGAGAGAGAGAGAGAGAGAGAGAGAGCGCGAGCGGGAGCAAGAGAGAGAGAGAGCGTGAGAGAGAGCAAGAGTGAAACTTGGGTAGCAGGAGAGAGGAGAGAGAGAGACTGAGAGCCAAGGCCTGTGGCCCCACTTTTAATAGGTCTGAGGGTGAGAGATTTAGGGATTAAAATCCTTAAAAGGTTTAATATTTATTGGTGAATTGAAAACATGTAGGGATTTAAAACAGGAAGAGAGATAAAAGGAGGTAGTAGGAAAATAAGTCAATCCCAACCAACCAGTTATCTAATCAACCAGGATCTGTAAAACAAAGTTTCCTCGGTGGGGGAGGCATTCTGGCAGTTTATCTAGTCTAGTTGGGTGGCCTGCAGTGTGTTTGTCTGAGATAGCCGTTCTTTGAGGTAGATGTCATGGCATCAAGCATAAGTCAGCATTTGTGTTACAAAAAAGAAAAGTCAAGTTTGGGAGCTTATAATGCACTGTGCCTACATTTTGGGGTTGCCCTGAGTGGCTGCAGCACCCACAGCTGGCACAGCAGGAATGTTGCTTCCCCTACACTCGCAGGCCATAGCCTCCTCTATGTCCATTGTCCGCAATACAGAGACAGTCTGACCTTTGTTCCTTT